ATATGTGTGTGTGTGTGTGAGAGAGAGAGAGTCTGTAAGAGTGTGTGTAAGTGTGAGTTTTGTGTTTATGCCCCTGCCATTCCTGCACAAGGTTTAACTCATAAATGTAATCTAACAAAGTTAAAGGGCAAATTCTGACCATATATGCTGTTTATATTGCTTGTAATTGGGATAAAGTAAACATCTGTTGAGTATTTTAACATATAATTGAATGTTTGATTAAACCACTCTGTGAGACCATCAGTTTGGAGGTGATACGGAGTCGTCCGCAAGCTCTCAATACCCAGAAGCTTATACACCTGCTTTAACCCGTGTATGGTGATCGGGTCTCTGGGACCCGTTTTCACTGTTTTTATCAACAAAAAAAAAATCATACTATTCATTATTTTTTCAAACTCAGACTCTTTGGCCTTGGCTCATTTTCTGTGAAGAACATATATCAGAACAAATTTTCAATGACCACTCACTGTACACCCCCCTACACATTTATATTACATAAAGGATATTCGGGTCCACTGGACCCGGAGCTAATAAAAGAGTGGAAATTTTAGGTCCTGTGTACCTTCACTCTGTTCTTCTATTGTCTGGGCCTGCTATTAGTATGTGTATGTGTGTATATGTGTGTGTGTGTGTGAGAGAGAGAGAGTCTGTAAGAGTGTGTGTAAGTGTGAGTTTTGTGTTTATGCCCCTGCCATTCCTGCACAAGGTTTAACTCATAAATGTAATCTAACAAAGTTAAAGGGCAAATTCTGACCATATATGCTGTTTATATTGCTTGTAATTGGGATAAAGTAAACATCTGTTGAGTATTTTAACATATAATTTTTGATTGTGTTGAATTAAAAACCCAAAACTGCAGCGGGTCCACCATACCCACGAACACTGGCTGAGTAACAAAAATATGAACACCACACAAGGTTTAAGAGAGAGGACAAAAAGTTAGTGCCTTGGTCTGTAAGAATCTGACAGGGGAACTTAACTCTGGAAAAGAGCTGTATCAAGCATGTTGCTACGTACTTAGCTTTAATGGACTTCATTGGGAACACTTTGGGATATCTAGTTCCATAATCGATTATGACAAGCATAAACAATACGATTTCCAGCTCGACTCCTTTCCACAGGGCCAATAATGTCCATACCTAATCTCTCAAATGGTGTACCAATGACAGGTAGAGGTTGTAGTGGTGCTCTGGCAGGGCTTTTCATGGAGACTTTCTGACACTCAGGGCAACTGTTGCAGTATTGAGTCACATCTCTCTTTAACCCAGGCCAATACACGTGTCTTTTTATTCGAGCTATTGTCTTATATCTCTCTAGGTGGCCAGCCCAGGTGATTGAATGGCTCAACTTGAGGATTACCTCCCAGACACTTTGTGGCACGACAAGCTGTTTTATGGACTCAAACTGGCGATAGAGAATTCCTTGTTGGAATAAATACCTTTCGGCTGAGTCAGTGTCCTCCGCATGGGCTGTAACCGTAACCAAAAACTTTGAAACAAGTCACATATAGGGTTAGCAGGTATGTTGGAAGCATTATATGCAAGTTTGTCCCGCCACCTTTCACGGCGTGACTTTCGTGACTTTGAAGGTTCCCCTGCAAACATGTCCTTGCGGGGTCCATGCTGGCTTTTTGCGGGCAGAGTGGGCTAGGGCCAACCCTAAACAGGTCCAGTGCGGGCTTACCCAGGCGAGGCCCACAGCTTTGGGCTCACTGTGAGCAGCCCACACTATGGGACTCCCCATATTAATCCAGTGATGGCCCAGTGTGGGCCAGACATGAGCCTGTTAATAAGAATTTTGTGGGCAGTTTTCTTCCTTACTAGGGGTGCTAGGGTTTTTTAGGCTTCCTTAAGTAAAGCCATGTGGTAGAGCCATTCGGTGCCTTGCTCAAGGGCACCTCAGTAGTGGCATTGAAGGTGAGAGAGAGCTCTGTACTCACTCCCTGCCGGTACGAGACTCAAACCTGCAACCTTTGGGTTACGAGTCCGACTCTCTAACCATTAGGCCACAACTTCCCATAGGCTTGTATGTTTGGATTGATGCTAATAATTTAAGACAGTGTATTTGTATGCATTTTAGAAGGACTCTTTATTGGTGAGGTTATCACATCATGGTTCAGTTTGAATATGGATTTAAAGTTATTTTCGACGTGAGACCATAGTCTGGACTATTTTTGATTGTTCCTGGTTAGGAACTTTCACATGACGAAATCCTACAATCTTACATTCACTGTAAAATCTAATTAGTTGGGCTTACTTAAAAAAGCATGCAAGCCGATTGCCTTGAAAAAACTAAGTGAAATAGGAATAGTGTGTTGTACTGACAAATGCTTAGTTGTTACCATTGTTGTGATTCACGTGCTGAATGTTTAAGTCTGTGTGTGACTTTATCATATTACCACACACTATTTAAGGATTATATAAACCCAATTAAAAACATCCCAATGTATTTATGAGAAATTAAATTTGAAAAAGTTAATTAAAAAGCACATGCAAAAAAAAAAAAAAAACACACTAATGCTTTAATTAGAAGATAGGCCACTTTCTAAAAGCAACCTATTTATTACTTTTCTTCCCTTGAAAACAAATAACTCTGACTTCATGATGTATTGCTGCATTAAGAGGAAAAAAATTATATTAACATAAACGAAGTTCCAAGTGCCCAACCAAAGGGAACGCTAAACACTATAATGGTGTTTAAAAAAAAAACCCACACATTGTAGGAAAATCAACATCAATTTATGAAGTTAGCTTATTTGATGTTCTCACAAATATTTCAGTTGTATTGAAAGTTCAACATTCAAGATGACTTTGGGAAACGAGTGAATGCAACTAGTGAAAGATAACTGCAGAGATGGAGGAAATGGGTCTATTAAGACTCTAAAAGTCTATTAAGACGCTTTCTTTTCTTCTTCACCTGTTGTTATGTTGCACATTAGCAACATATTAGTGCACTGCTGCCTCTCACTGGTTTATTAATATCATTGGTTCCTTTGTGGCTACTTGAATATTTTAAGTAAGTGTCACTCAAAACAGTAAGTAAATTGTTTTATTTGCCTTGAAAGTAGCTGTAACCTAATAAAACCTAGTAGGTATAACAACTAAGTGAAGATAACTAATTAAATATAAGTAAACTATTGGATTTTACAGTGTTGCTTTCTTTTGTTTTTTTTTGTACTTTTGTGTATTTACATTTTTGGCTATATGTAGCTGTATTAACCTGAATTGAATGTTTTCTATTTTGTATTTAATTAATCCATTGATTTGAAATCCCTTTGACTACTGTACATTTTTGACAATATAGACATTAGTTATGTGGTGACTGCATCCATTTCAAATGTATAATAACTGATTTTCCCAAAGACTTAAGTTATAGTAGCTGAAAAGTATTTAAAGTGAAACAGATGTATTGTTTTAGATCAGGGGTGCATCCTGTTCCTGGAGTTCTACCTTTCTACAGAGTTCAGTTCCAACCCTGATTAAACAAATCTGTATGTAATTATCAAGTGCTCCTTCAGATCCTAATTAGTTGGTTCAGGTGTTTGATCAGGACCAGGTTAGGCATCCCTGTTGTAGATTAATAGTGTGGGCTAAGTGAGGGCTGCCAGTGCAGGGCCAGCACTAAGGGGCCAACATTTTGCCAATGAGCAAAATCTCAGAGGCCCTGCGCTGGCAGCCCGCTGGGGGCCCTTAGGCTAGACCTAAGTGGGCCCGTAAAGGGCCAGTGCAGGTGTGTTTGCAGGGTCCACTTCAATATCAACATCAAAGAAGGGCAAGGTACTGAGTGTTGACATTGTTTCCTCTGCCTGCTTCATCTTTGCTCTGGTAACTACAACATTGCAAAGTGGTTCAGGCTGCAGTAAATCCAAAAGTACTGGTAAATCATGCCCTAGAATCACAGGATAAGGCAAATTATCAGCTACCCTGACATCCAGGAGATAAGTCTGTCCCTGTACTTTGATTTAAAGATCCGTGGTAGGTAACAGTTTCTCATCGCCATGGACACAGCATGAAAGCACAACATTCACATGTGCTGCTGATATGATTAGTCAATTAATGTTAACTGGTCATTTTGTGTCAGGATAAAAAAACAAAAAAAAAAAACAAACAAACAGTGAAATTAGCTTTTTTGTGAAAAGTTCATTTTTTGGCCAGTGAAGCTTTTAGCAATTATTTAAAATGCATCTGATCACGCTACACAATAATCTAGAAACAATGTGAATGAACACCACAACAGCTTAAGCAGCAAACTTTGCAAAACACAAAATTGATGTCACTGCCAAAATGTTTGGCAATGACTGTATGCTAGATGTTTTTCTTCAAATGTGTGTGAAAAAAACTTCCCTTGATCCCATTAACCAACAAATACACTGTTTTACATTTTAAAGTTTAAAGCACATAGTTTTTGAACAGTTTCAATATCCCACTTCAAAAACACATTCCCAAACAACATGAGGGGTCATAAATTCCTTTAGATTGGTGGGGTGGATAAACAGATGTACAAACAGATGTCCAGTTGGATGGGTGGGGGTGTACATGAACAGGTGTCCAGTTAGGGTGGGGAGGGTTGGTTGGGGGTGGAATTTTTATGAGGGGTCATCAATCAAATTTTGACATAAAGGACATGGCATTCTCTCTCATGTGGTTCCTCCCTTGTGTTCATTGCCCAATCAGCCTGTAATTTTCATTCTGGAGAATACCCTTGTTACACAGCAAAATGGGTAAAACAGTTATTTGAAGCTGAAAACACAAATAATGAAATGGCCAGCACAGAGTCCTGATCTAAACCAGATTGAAATCTCTGGAAAATCCTTGGTGACAAAGTTATGGCTAAGAAACTCACTGCAATCACCGAACTGTGGAAGAGACTGGAAGAAGACTGGACCAAGGTTTCATAAATCAAACTCAGGTTTTCATAAATTCCCTAATTTTGATCTCTACTCTACATATGGTTTAAACTGTTAACATTATAAAATGTTATTCTTTTTATTTTACCTCAAACACACAAAAACATAGGCTAAAGTTTAAAGAACATGAAATATATCACAAATGTATTGTGCAACACTTCTCTCTTCCACTAGCAAAAGCTTCTGTCCAATTTTTTCAGAGCTCCAGTACAGACTGGTGGCTTGATTCCCTGTATGAGAATTACACAAGGTTTTTAATTTAGTCCGGTTGATGAGCAAGTGCAGTATTTAAGCAATGAGAAATGGTAAAAGTGAAAACACGTGCATACTTTGTACAAACTGCATACAAGGTTGAAGAGAGTAGACATAGCTTTATCTTTCCATTCACTAGTGTATTCCTGAGTAGGTGGGGGAAAAAATAAAACACACACACACACACACACACACACACACACTTAGATCTCGAGAACTCGCTCACCAGAAATGAGAGTGTCTTATTTCAGCACGATAGATGACGATTAGTGCAAATGCTCTGCTTTGAGAAGGCCTTACCCCATTGAAGGTGATCCAGGGAACATGAGTGTGTGCTGGTTTGAGCGCTTGCGTCTTCACTGCATTTTGATGCATTAATCTGTGGCCAAGTTCTCCTCTGGTACAAGACTCTATAGTCTGCCATTTGACAAATGGCGCATAGAGCTGCAAACACTGGCAAAGAAAAAAAAAAGACTCATAATGGCTCTTCATCATTCAAAAAATAAAGCTGTAAGTGGCAGTAATGTTGGCTCAGAGTTATGTTGGCTTACAGGCTTAGCAGATTTTAGTACATCTGCAGATGACTCCATGCAGTAAATGACAGGAAATGCTGCATGATTGGCTGCATGTAAAACACATGCCTATTAAGAAATAAGAAATATTAGGAATGTTTATCTAAAATAGAGATAGAGAGAAATATTTTTAAATTTAAAAACCTAATGAGCTGCCTTTCTGTATTTGCTGCTTCCACACAGAGAATTCTTGAGGTTAGCATGTTGCTAAGCCAACAACATAATACTCCAAGCATAACACACAAACACACAGATATTGGGTAAAATAGATTATCTGTTTTAATCAATTTATCATGTAATGAAATGTACATTTTATTTATACCATAGTCAACATTGTTGTTAGCTAACAAACTCACCTCAACCATGCTAGCGTAGCACTCTGGTTCTCCATGTTGACACGAGAATGAATTCTCTTCGGGGAGCTTCTTAAATGACAAGTTAACAGTCATAAACACAAGTAACGTCATAACATTTTCCCTATTACAACACACAGTCTTATACATGGCTGTACCTTAGCATTGCCAAAGGGTACCAGGTTGACATTCATTATATCTTTTAGTAAAGTCCAGGTTGGGAAGAGTTGTTCTGTAAGGAACGCTCTGCAGCCTGGACACAGGCTCTCGTAATAGAGAGTGATCTCTACAGGAGGAACCACTGGGTCGGGCCGGGTCGCGTTCAGTTCCATACATTGTTTCCGCACCTACTCCGATACAAAAAAAACATGGTGTAGCAACAAATGAGGAAAAAAAAACATCTCCACATTGACCAGTTTGCCGAATTACAAGTTATTTACAATTACAAGAATTTACAATTACAATTGTAAGGCTACATTCATGCAATGTGACTGCAGTTTGAATAATCAAGCCATACAAATTGTAGCCTATACATTTTTTCTGATAGCACACAAAAATCCTGTGACAATTAACGGAATTCAGATAACTGTAAACATGCAAATGCATTGTTAAATTATTGAAATATTAATTTATAATCTCAGGGGTATAAGGACTTTAGGTCAGTGGTGTTTGGCTGACAAAACTGTTTGGAAATCCTTGGTGTCCCTCTTAAAAAAAGAAAAAGCATATGCTGGTTAGGTATGTTTTGAAGAATGGCTGCTGGTTTGAGCTGATTTAAGCTGGTCCTTAGCTGGTCATGTGCTGGTCCTAAGCTGGTCCTGAGCAGGAGTTAGTTGCTTAGAATCAGAATCAGAAAGAGCTTTATTGCCAAGTGTGTTCACACACACAAGGAATTTGTCTTGGTGTTAAGGGCTTCCGGTACAGAAAATACAAACAAAGTGCAGACATACATAAAAAGAGATAATAGACAATAAATGATAAATAACAATGGTAATAAAAATATACAGAAAAAGGACAAATGTCCATATACCGAACTGTGAATGTGCATATGTGCTATTTACAGATGAAGGTTTTATGAGTTATTTACAGATGTGCAGTACTGAGGTGTGTTATGTGTTGTTCAGGTGCGATATGGCCTGGGGGAAAAAAACTAGGGCTGTGCAATTAATCACATGCGATTGTCATGCGCATCTCGTCAGTAAAGCCGGTTCCGTGATTAGTAGTAAATCTCCATCACCTGGTTTCAGATGGTGTGGCATTTACTACACAGAGCCATAGTTCACTGACAATTAGGCAATAGTGCGTTCATTATCGCAGGCGATTCAATCTGCGATAATGAACGCGATATTGCCTAATTGTCAGTGAACTACGGCTCTCAGTGAACCAAACCAAACAGTTATAGATGAACACAGGACAGACTCAATGATGGCCGAGTAGAACTGTTTCAGCAGCTCCTGTGGCAGGTTGAACTTCCTCAGCTGGTGGAGGAAATACAGCCTCTGCTGGGCCTTTTTCACAATGGAGTCGATGTGATTGTCCCACTTCAGGTCCTGAGAGATGGTGTTGCCCAGGAACCTGAATGACTCCACTTCAGTCACAGTGCTGTTCATGATGGTGAGTGGGGAGAGTGTAGGGAGGTTCTTCCTGAAGTCTACTATCATCTCCACAGTTTTGAGAGTGTTTGGCTCCATGTTGTTAAGACTGCACCAGACAGCCAGCTGCTCAACCTCCTGTCTGTAAGCAGACTCGTCTCGGTCCTTGATGAGGCTGATAACTGTAGTGTCATCCGCAAACTTCAGGAGCTTGACAGAGGGGTCCTTTGAAGTGCAGTCATTCGTGTACAGGGAGAAGAGCAGTGGGGAACAGAGTGGTCCTTTGAAGTGCAGTCATTCGTGTACAGGGAGAAGAGCAGTGGGGAGAGAACACAACCCTGAGGAGCTCCAGTGTTGATAGTGATAGTCCTGGATGTGTGTTTGCCCAGCCTCACAAGCTGCTGCCTGTCTGTCAGGAAGCTGGTGATCCACCGACAGATGGAGGTGGGCACAGAGAACTGTGTCAGTTTGTCTGAGAGAAGGTCAGGCATGATGGTATTGAAGGCTTTGTTCACACCAGTGTTAATTTTGACAGCAAATTTTGATTTAGTTTTAGTCATAGTCTTTTGACTATGTTTTAGTCATATTTTAGTCATCTGAATTGTTTTTAGTTTTAGTCGACTGAATCTACAGTCAATTTAGTCTGCTAAAATCTAATGGGTTTAGTTACATTGTAATGCATTTATTAAGCATTTCTCTAAAATGTCCAAACTCATTATATTGGTTTGATATTAAGGTTTTATCATGATAGACACCGATTTAACTGTTGTGACACACAACATGCCTTTATGTTAAAATTAAATAAAACCACTTCTCACAAGGAACAAGAACATGGTCTACTTTGTAATGAAATACCAATGGTTATATAGGCTAATTATGCATTCTTTATATCCACTTGTTTACCATATTCTTCATTCTTTCAAGCAGACATATTTATTTCTATAAATACATTTAGATTAATCTTTAAGGCTACTAAAGTTTTTCAGTCAAGAGCAGTGCATGATTTTCTGTCTTTCTTTTGTTGCTTGATTAACATCAACGACTCGGACAATAGCAACTAAATTAGGCTGCTGTATCTTTAAAACCGAACGCATGGCTGCAATGGATGCAATGTACTGATACACGTTCTTCCTACTGTTTATGTTCACTTAAGAGGAAATCAACTGTGTTTACATGAATACTTGTCAAAACGGACAATTCATCATCATTTTGTGTGTAATTCTCCGTTCATGCGACGCAAAAGAGTACTCGCGCGCTGTGAGACGCGCTTTGTGTGTATAGTGTCTGCTCTCAGAAAACCAGACCGAATTGAGTTCTCTCTTGTGTAGTCAGATTTATCTATATGTCTGCTCTTCTCTTACTCCCACATATTGACATTTTTTTGAACGTTTTATGCAACACGCAGCAAGTGTAATTTAGCTTATGTCCCGCCGGTTCATATGTACGCATAACCTCCGAGCCACACAGCAGATTCGTTCTGAATGAATCTCATCCCAAATCCTCCCTCCCTAACATTTTCGTCTCGCTTTTATTCGTTGACGAAAATGTCAATAGATTTACGACATAGTTTCAGCAAGGGTCTAGTGATGTCCTTCAGGTAGGCCAGGACCAGTCGCTCAAATGACTTCATTACCACAGACGTGAGAGCGACAGGTCTGTAGTCATTTAGTCCAGTGATTTTGTTTTTTTTGGGGACTGGAATGATGGTGGAGCGTTTGAAGCAGCAGGGGGTGAAACACCATCTGGGCCTGAAGCTTTCTTAGATTTCTGATTCCTGAAGACCCGGTTCACATCCTCTACACAGACCTTAAGAGCAGGTTGAATGGTGGGGGAGGGAGGGGGTGAATGTGTGAAGTGCAGATCAGAGCGGGTGCTGGGTGTTAGTCTGGCCTTTTCAAATCGACAGTAAAACACATTCAGATCGTCAGCCAGTTGTTGATTCTCCACAGACTGTGGGCGTGGTGTCTTATACAAGGTGATGTTCTTCAGGCCAGTCCATACTGATGCTGGATCATTGGCTGAAAACGGTTTTCTCAGCTTTTCAGAGTAGTTTTTTTAGCCACTCTGATCTCCTTTGTTAGTCTGTTCCTGGCCTGGTTATACAAGATTTTATCCCCACTTCTGTAAGCATCCTCTTTGGCGTGATTAAGCTGTTTGAGTTTCCCTGTAAACCACAGTTTATCATTATTGAATGATAAGAATGTCCTGGTGGGGATGCACATATCCTCACAGAAACTGATATATGAAGTTACAGTCTCCGTGAGCTCGTCCAGATCGGTGGCAGCAGATTCAAAAACACTCCAATCAGTGAGGTCGAAACAGGCTTGTAAATCCCGCTCTGCTTCATTAGTCCATCTTTTAACAGTCCTTCATACAGGTTTAGCTGATTTCAGTTTCTGCCTGTAGGTCGGTATAAGATGAACCAAACAGTGATCAGAGAGCCCCAAAGCTGCCCGTGGGACAGAGTGATATGCATCCTTTATTGTGGTGTAGCAGTGATCCAATATATTACTGTCTCTGGTGGGACGTAACGTGCTGTCTGTATTTTGGTAGTTCATGGGAGAGATTTGCTTTGTTAAAATCTCCAAGATTAATTAAAAGAGAGTCCGGGTACTGTTGTTCCATTTCAGTTATTTGTTCGGCCAGCTGTTGCATCGTGGCGCTCACGCACGCGTCAGGAGGCACCTACACATTCACGAGAATAAAAGAGGAAAACTCCCGGGGAGAATAGAACGGTTTATAGTTTATGAAGAGCACCTCTGAAGTAGATGTGCTCTCCTAATTTAGAGTTGTTACGTCTGAACACCAACCTTCATTTATGTAAAAACATAGTCCACCACCTCTCGTTTTCCCCGTTACCTCTGCAATGTGATCCGCTCTGAACAGCTGGTAGCCCGGTAGATGAAGCGCGTTGTCCGGAATGGCTTCACTCAGCCAGGTAGCACAATGCAGCAGATTTTGAAAAGTCCTTGTTTGTGCGGGTGAGGAGGAGAAGTTCATCCGTTTTGTTAGGAAGGGAACAGAGATTCGCTAGATGGATACTAGGGAGCACAGTTCGGAAGCCGCGTTCACGGAGCTTAACCAGCGTGCTGGCGCGTTTCCCTCTTTTCCGTCTGAGCGCGCGTTTGACTAGGACCGCTGCCCCTCATCCAACAAAGCGTCTGAATAATCAAAAACTGTAAAAAAAATTGTCTGGTGTGTGTTGCCTTATGTCCAGTAGTTCGTCTCTGGTAAAACTGATAGTAAGGGAATGACTAAACACAGAACAAACAAATAAAAACAGTAAAAGAATGGGAGCGTTCCACACCACGGCCATACACGGCGCCATCTTAACACTTTAAGCTTAGGACCAGTACATGACCAGCTTAAACCAGCTCAAACCAGCAGCCATGCTTAAAAACATACCTAACCAGCATATGCTGTTTTTTTCAACAGGGGTATTTGATGTGTGTAGTTTCATCTGGAATATGTCACTAAAATGTTCCCTGTTAGACAACATTTAGAATATGTTTTCAAAAAATGGTGCTGTCAGATAAAAACACTTGTTGTAATTGCATTCTTGATTTACTCTTAGCAAGAATCATAAATTGAAACGTAGTGAATCTGGATAGGTGGTAAATGTATTTAAACTATATCAGTGTGCTCTCAGCCTTCTTCACCCAAAGGAACCCTGTTGTCCAGAATATTCAAAGGCTTCCTGATACAAGCTATTTATGCATATGCTATGATTATGCTTGTTTTTAAACTTTTTTATAACTATTATAATATTTATTTTGGGACTTTAAAAAATATTTATGGAGGGGGGAAAATCAGTACTTTTATTTATTTTCCTTACATAACATTACCATATTTTCCAAGTTTTTTAGCACTTGAAATAAGTTTAGAAAAAATATTTTGTATTATTATTTTACAATAAATTAATAATAGATTAATAAGATGAATAATAGATTATTGCAATATATTAATAACGATGTATTAATTGAAATTGAATTTGTGTCATCTTGAGGCCCCCTTAAGAGTTTGCCAAGACCCCCTGGTGGACCCTGGCACACTGGTTGAAAAGCAGAGAAATAAATTGATGCTAATTAGGTCTTTGTGCAAAACTCGATTTGAACAGTGACAAAAACAAAAAGTGACAATAGAAGTTGAGAAGTTAATGCTAATGCATAGATTTTAGAATTACATTTTTGATTATGTTGTGATGAAAAGAGTAGGAAGTTTTAAGGATACAGGCCACATTTAAAATGTCACGTGAACAAGAAGATTGACTCACGGCTTGAAGTACCCAGTTATGCTCATGGCATAGTCAGATTTAAATCTAAACAAATTCTCTAAAGCACATCTTTAAACCAACTATTTATAGGATGAACTTCTGACCCTGAATTCGGAGTATAAGAGCATACAGTTGTAGACATGAGGAGGCTCATCAAACTCACATGTGAACCAGGAAATATCGTGGCCTGCTTAATTGGAAGCTGTTTGTGTTCAAAAGCATTACAATAATTTACAAGCACAAAGAAGTCTTTGAAAGTGATGGTGAACACAGCTTTTTTACAAGACCAATGCATCAGTGCAATATTCCATGAAAGTCAATATTCTATACAATCAGTAACACTCTGAAAATGAACACAAGCTATTATATCACATAATGCAAGTGAAAACAGATGAATTGTGAATTCTTTATTGTAGGTTGACTTAACCGTTTTTAGATAAAAAAAGATTGCCATATCTTGAGATGCATCAACATTATATCCTGTAAAATTTGAGCTATTAAAAGGCCACCCATATTACAATCATGAGCTGCCAGTTAATGCCTCTTTAAAGTTTCAAGATTTAAATCAACCTCTTAAACATACTTATCCCACATTCTATGGCAATCTCCAGAGACCTGCACCATTGAGAAGGAGGGTATCCACATGAAGGCTTTGGGTGAGATTTACACTGGGTTTCATAAACTCTGAGGTATATGACATGAAACACAGAGCACTAGAGTTTTCATGCTGTTGGTATTTAGGCTTTCTGTGAGCAGAATGAGAGCTTGTGTACATTCTCCTCCTGTCAAAATAACCTCAGAGCTCCAATCAACTGTGAGCAGCTGCAGCTGAACAGACACTCACTGACCTCAGATCAGAAGAGAGAGGACGTTCATGAGCAAAGAGAGTTCACAACTGAGATTAGTGTTGTCGTTTTATCATATCACAACAATAACTATACATACCTTAATAAAATGTAAAATATATATTTTTAATTGTTTGAGTTGGTAATACCAAAATAAATGTATAAAACTCTACAGTTCCCTTTCATGGGAACTTCGAACTGCATCCTCTAGGGGTCGCTATGGGGAACGCCTCATCGTGACCCGTGTCTGTCGCATACATTGAAAAAACACCAACTCGTTGGCCGGCGACAGCCATGACGTCACCATGACGTCACTACCGGTGCGACTATAGTATAAATAGGCGCCGGGAGCACACATCATTCTCTTCTTCGTCTTCATTGACTGTTCTGTTTGAAGCGTGCATTTCCAAGGAAAAAGTAAGAGCTATCTCTATTTATTATGGCGATCACTAGCAGAGCGTTTAGAAGGTGTGTGCATCCGTGTCACCGCTATTTGACACCCGATGACACACACGATCTATGCGTTGTTTTTGATGAAAAAGCCCCGCTCTCGTTTGTCTCTCTTTTCGAGGAGAGAGGTTTCAGGCCCCGCCGCTGCTGAGGCACGGAGGAGAATGAGCTCGTGGGGATCACAGGTGGACCTGGCTGATGAGTTTAAAGAGGGGCTTCCCCTCTCGTGCTCATCGGCTGTGGACGATGGAAGAGGCCATTTTCCTCACGCATCCATCGGTTTCAGCATACCGGTTATGTAAACATCGAGGCGATGCGCGAAAACGGCTATGAGAGGATGCCCCCTGTAGAAGAGACGCTAGCCAGCTATCTCTCTATGGGTGAGACATCGTCTCTCAAAACTCCCTCCTTGCCATCCGTGCCCCTTCAGTCTACATCTCGCTTGAATGGCAGGGCATGCGCAGCAGCAGGTCAGGCTGTTGCTTCGTTGCCGCCTTCTGAACTTTTTGGTACCTCCGTTGAGATGGTGGTCGAGAAGTTCAGGGAGGCGAAGGCGCGCTCAGCGGTCTTCAAAACCTTCATTCCATGAAGGTCGAGGTCTGAGCCCGAACAACCCAGGGCTCCTGGCCCGTCTCGGTTTGAAGATCAGAGACGAGCACAGAAGGCTAACATCGCGACTCGCGCTCCTCCCCCTCCTGCGGGTAGGGGTAGGAAGTATCGTGGGTCAAAGGGGGTAGGCAAGACCTGAGGGATGTGATCCAGACTGCATAACAGTCTCCTGCTGGACCTATGATGTTTTGGTTGGTTCTATGGCTAAATCATAGTGACCACCTTACTGATGGTCCGGTCTAGAGGCTTCTCCAGACAGAGCTCCAATGCGGGAACTATGGTGGGTGAGTACGAACCATGTCTAAACCGGCGCGTCACTGCAAAAATTTCCTGGACGTCCGGGCTGGGTTTTACGCTTTCATGCTACCCTGACTGGTCTACCGTTTCTGGGTCACCCTGAGGGGCTTCCTGATCACCAGGATATCCCCTCTTGCTGAGGCATCGAGCGGGAGGAATAGGTGGCATTACGAGAACCTTCCTGTTTAAATGCTGTGTCGGGCAGGGCTCC